TAAGAAGTCTTGATGGAGTCCATCTGAGCTGTACCCAGTTTGTTCCTCAGAGAGCCTTAGAAATGTTTTGCTGTGCACTCGGGATTGAGACAGCCATCACAAGCATGCTTTTCACCAGACTGTGCTGTGCTTAAGGAACCCACTTGGGGTCAGACTCCCAAAGTTTGAATCAACATGGCTACTGACTCATGTTACACTGAGCTCCCTTCTGGCCTCCCACAACTTGTCACTCTGCTGCCCAGAAGGTCAGAGACACCCTCCTCCCCCAGCACTCTATTACTTTTTTGTGAGGGACAGGTTTTATATCCAAACCTGGACTCTAATTTGTGGCACTCCTCCTGTCTCAACCCTCTTGTAAAAAACAGACGTTTATTACTACATTTTCCAAGCGAGTTATTGTTACAGAAACTATTTCTAATTAAAAAACAAAACAAAACAAAAACCCAACCTATTTCTTTCCTTTTTTAAAAAAAATGTGCATTGGAGTTTTGCCTGCATATGTCTTGTATGAGTATGTCAAATCCCCTGGAACTGGAGTTACAAACAGTTCTGAGCTGCCATGTAGGTGCCGGGAATTAACTCAGGCCCACTGGAAAAGCAGGTAATGTTCTTAATGCTCTTAACCACAGAGCCATCTCTCCAGCCCCTATTTCTTAAAGTGCTAGTTTTAAACCATATATTTAGAATTTCTGGTGATCTTCATTTCTTTGTGGGAACACATATTTCTACTTACTGTCATTTCTTTTCAGCCTAAATATCTTGCAGTGCAGGGGTACTACTGAAAAGTTCAGATAATTTAAAAAATATTTATTTTGCTCTTACTCTCAGAGAGTAATTCTATAAACAGAGTTCTAAACTGGAAAGTTTCTTCCATTGTTTGAACAGGTCAATCCAAGACTTTTGGCTTTCACAATTATAAGATGTGAACTGTTTTGTATGTGTAACATGTAATTTTTCTCTGTACATACAAAAAAGGAGTTTTCTTTGTTTATTCTACTGTGTCTTATTTTTTGGGTCTGTACATTAATCCTATCCCCAATCAAATCTGGTAAATTTCATCAATTGTTTTTTAAAATTTTTTTCTCTAATCTGTCCCTATTCTTGTTTTTTTTGTTTGTTTGTTTGTTTGTTTTGTTTTTTAATTTTTGTTATTTGGAGACAGGGTTTGTGTTGCTTGGCTGTTCTGGCCTGGACCCCCACAGCTGGCAGTCCTTGTCCTTTTAGGAGCTCACTTCCCATCACCTTGCATAACCATATAGTACTGAGTCTTGCTCACTCTTCCCGCTCACTGTGTTTTGGAACTTGGTAATTTCTATTCCTCTGTCTTGAACTTCCCTGTTTGTCACTGTTTTCCAATTTTCTGATGAGTTCATTTAGTATATTTAAGAAGAAAAAAATTTCAGAGCTGGGCAATGGTGGCACATGCCTTTAATCCCAGCACTCAGGAGGCAGAGGCAGGTGGACCTCTGTGAGTTCGCCAGCCTGTCTACACAGTAGTGAGTTTCAGAAACTGTCTTGAAAAGTAAAACCCAAAACAAGAACAAATTTGGTTATGGCAGATCTTCAGGTCTCTGTCTCCTCCTCCAAACCCAGCTCCCAGTCTCACGCCCAGTCCTTCAACAAACAGCTGCTGCTGCGGGCCCTGCACCTCAACTGGATCACTCCAGTTTCCTCTCATTGCTTTATCCCAGCCCCCAACTCCAGCAGGCACTCCCTGGAACCTGCAGGCATCTCCAGCCAGGGAAGCAGCCCCCAACTGCAGCAGAGAGCAGAAGATAGCAGAAGATGGAAAGAGTTCCTATGCTCAGGGACCATAGGATAGTACCAAAAGCCACCTACAGATTAAGTGCAGTCCCCATCAAAATCCTAACACAATTCTTTACAGACTTTAAAAGGACAATTCTCAGCTTCATATGGAAAAACAAAAATATGTACCCAGGATAGATGAAACAATCCCGAACAATAATAAAAGAACCGCTGGAGGTCTGACCATTCCCAACTTCAAGTTGTAGTACAGAGCTACAGTGATGCAAATGGCATGGCACTGGCACAGAAACAGACACAGTTGAACAATGGAATCGAACTGAAGACCCATATGTAAATCCACACACCTATGGATATCTGATTTTTATTAAAGAAGCCAGAAATACATACTGGAAAGAAGACATTAACATATGGTGCTGGTCAAGTTGGACAACTGCACATAGAATAGCCCAAATAGATCTATTCATACTGAACCACCCTGCACAAAACTCAACTCCAAATGGATCAAAGATCTCAGTGTACAATGAGAGCCAGGCATGGTGGTGCATGCCTTTACTCCCAGCATTCAATAGAGGCAGAGGCAGGTGGATCCCTGTGAGTTCGAGGCTAGCCTGGTCTACAAAGTGAGTCCAGGACAGCCAAGCTACAGAGAGAAACCCTGTCTCAAAATGCCCAAACCAAACCAAACCAAAAAAACTCCAACCCAATTTTAAAAAGGGGCAGCATATACTCCATGGTAAGGAACTTGTCCTATGGACATCCCATCAAAGTCTTCAATAGCAAAAGCAAAACAGACCCAGCGGAATCATTTATGCCAGAACAACATGAAGCTGATAAATCACTGCGTGCCAGGATCACTCCTGTATACAGGGAGTACCAACACCAACAAAAGACCTATAATCTAAATAGAGTAGAGATGTTCAAACACCTAGAATGAAGAGATGTTACTAGAGCCTCATAGTTGGGGATACAAACTGGGATGTATCCCCAGACTTGGGGCCCTATGTTTGATCCCTAGCACCCCATAAACCAAGTACAGTCATGCATGCCTGTAATCTTAATAGGAGGGTGGAAGAGAGGGAATCAGAAGTCAAGGTCATCCTCAGCTACACAGCAAATTTTAGGGTAGCCTGAGCTATAGGAGACCCTGTCTCAAAAGAAAAAAAAAAAATTGGTACCACCCCATTAGAAAATTAGACACTTAAATACATTTGTACACACACGCACACGCGCGCGCGCACACACACACACACCTGTAGCTCTCCAGACAGTGGAAATGGCAAGTCATTACTTATAATTCTATATTCTTTACCTGTACTTAAAATTATGTTCATAATCCAAAGTGATTTATAATTCAAATTTTCCAAAGATTGTGGACCTTAAGAACAACAAGGTTTCATTTTAGAGTGATGTAAAGGATTTATTAGCTATGATGGTAGTACAATTCAAGGTATTTTATGGATGAATCATAGTACAATAAAGGTGCTATTAAATGATAAGCTAGCATAAAGGTATTATTTACAAGCTAGATAATACAAAAATGCAAAATTTAGTTCCTTTCCTAAGAGGGACAACACCTACTGTGCTTGCCAGTTTTACATCAACTTGTCACAAGCTACTCTGATCGGAGAGAAAGGAACTTCTCTCACATTTTCTCATTTCAGTTGAGAAAAGGCCTCCTAAGATGGGGCTTTAAGCAAGACTTAATGGCTTGCTTATTAGGGCATCTTCTTAATGAGTGGTTGATGGGGAGGGCCCAGCCCATTGTGGAGGGTGCCATCCCTGGGCTGGTGGTCCTGGGTTCTGTAAAAAAAAAACAGGCTGAGCAAGCAAGACAGAAAGCATCACTCCTCCGTGGCCTCTGCATAACTGCCTCCAGGTGCCAACCCTGGTTGAGTTCCTGTCCTGATGAACAGCGATGTGGAAGTGTAAACTAAATAAACCCTTTCTTCCACAAGTTGCTTTTGGCCATGGTGTTTCATCACAGCAACAGAAACCTTAAGACACCTACCTTTGGGTGTAGGAAACCCCTCCCACTTCCCAAAGGCAACCTAGAATGAATGAGCACTCACAAAGTGATTTACAGGCTTAAGCAGTAGCTGACCTTGATGTAAGACACATGTTAAAAAGAAGGGAGAATGAATGACCCCTGGACTAACCTCAGCCACAGCATCTGGAGTAGGGGTTCACTAAATTTCTGTGGAGGGTTCTAGAAAGGCAGAGACCACAAATCTTTTTATTAACCACTTCAGGAGCAAGGACAAAGATAAAGGACCTGGAGGAAAAACAAAGGTGCGAGTGCCCCGCCCCCGGGCTTTGTATGTGATTCGCGTTTGCAAAGCAAAATAGACCGTCCTTCCCCACAACTCAGAAATCGGGCCGCTGGCTGGGGAGCTAGGCCCCGGAGCGCAGCCGCCACCGTGCCAAGGGCGGCGCTTCGCTCGCTCGCAGCCCGGGCTCCTGTTACCTCCCAGTACACATCTGTGCCCATCAGAAGCCAAACAATTACGCGCTCCCGCGCGCCCGCCTCGAGGTCCGGGTGGCGGCTGCGGCCTGACCAGGGCCCCCACCTCCTCCCGCTCGCCAAGGCTCTGGGGCCACGCCGGGCCGGAGGCGGCTGCTCCGCAGCTCGCACGGGTGCACAGCGCGTCGCCCATGTGCTCGGCCCGCTCCGCGGCACAGTCCCGCGGGGGTCCGAGCGGGCCAGCCCGAGGCCTGCCCTGCCGGAGGCGCCGCCGCGCTCCTCGAGGCCGGAGGCCGCCGAAGGCGGGAAGACGCGGCGGCGGCGGGCCGGGGTCGCAACGCCGAGGCCCCGAGCAGGGGACGCCCGGCCGCCGTCGGGCGCGGCGAGCGGCAGCGGACTCACCACGGTTCGGCGGGGCAGCGCGCCGGGGGTCCGCGACAGGGCCCGGCGCAGCCTCCGCGCCCTGCCCGAGCGGGTCCCGGCCGGACTCTCGGAGCCGCTGTCGTCGGAGATCACGATAAAGTCCTCCATGGCCACGGCCCCGGCCGAGCCACGCGCGAGCAGCCGGCGACCCCGGCGACGGCGACTTCGGTTCCAGCGGGCTGGAGCCACTGCAGCGACCGCGGCGGCCGACACCGGGGTTAATACCCCCGCCGGCCCCGCCCCTCCATTGCCCCGCCCCCGCCCCGCCCCCCGCGGGCGGCCGCGCGCCCGGCTCTCTTTCTGTCAGGGGAGAGGGAGCGAAGCCGGGGGCTGGGCCGAGCGGTCGGCGGACGTGAGAAGCGCTGGGCAGGAGCCGCTGCTCTCCGCTGACCGCCGAGCGCGGTGCCCGCCACCGGCCCTGGCTGCAGGTGCGACCAGCCAGCGCGGCGGGGCACGGAGGTGGGCCGACCGCGGGCCTCTAACGGGCGTTTCGTTGCCGGGCCGTGAGCCTCCGCCGGTGGAGCAGCCCGGAGCCGGGAACCCGCTGTCCTACCGCCTGGGCCGGTGTCAGTCGCCCAGAGGGCTGCTGGCTGAGGTGAGGGAGGGACCCCGCTGCTCCTGTGTGCGCAGGTAGATCCGTAGGGCGAATCCCCACAAGTGGAATTATTGGATCACATCTAAGTTTTCATTGTTGGCAAATGGCACCAAATTACCCTAAGTTGCACCAATTTGCAGTTTCACCAACAGTGTGTGTCACAGGAATTTAAACTGTCAAATGTAAGAGTTGTTGAGGTGCTAGTTGACTGAACCGCCAGAAAGGCACACACTACAGCTGTGAGTCCCGGAGTGCCCCGTTCTCCGAACAAGCAGAAGCTATAAGGATGAAAACGTGTCCCCAGCAGGGGAAATGTCGGTAAGTAGTGAATTCTTTGGTTGATTTATTGTAGGGTAGGGACATTAAAGTCAAAACAGGACCCATCGCTATTTTTAAAATGTGGGATACTGACAAAATGCTGCAGCTTGGGCCCAAGTAACTGTGAAAAATAGAGTAATCGACTCAAATTAAAATGTCTTTAACAAAAAAAGAGGTTTTTTTTTTTTTTTTTCCCATACAGGGATAGTTGTTGGTTGCTATCTAAGCAGTGTCTAATGCAGTGTTTATTGTTAGTGAACTTCTGAATCAGCTGGAGGTTGTATGATAAAGATTGCAGGACCACACACCAGCGTTTCTGACTGAGAAACTTAATTTTGAAAGTAAGGCCTCCACATTGGTATTTCTTTCAGGTTCCTAGGTGATACTGACATTGCTTAAAGGGTGGTGAACACACTTTTAGACTCACTGGTCTAGGCTTGCCTTTCATCCTAGTCCTTGAAAGACCAAGGTCAGCCAGGAAGGAGGAAGAAGAAAGACAAGGAGGAGGGGAAGGAGACAGGAGAGATCACTGGCCTGGTGGGCAAATAGTTTATGATTTCAGATGTTTTGGCCTAACAGGTGAATTGTTATAAGTGGATTCAGTAAGTTGAGCTTTCTTTAATGCTATTCAACATTCATTTTAACACACACACACACACACACACACACACACACACACACACACACACGGGAATGAATCTAAGACTCCATACAGGCTAAGCTATATCCCCTGGCTCTCTGGCCCAAAGTCTCTTCTTTTTGAAACATTGTCGTTTTTAGGCTTTATGGCTGTATTTCTCTAATCAGTTCTTTGTAGCCTCTAGCTGATTCCTATTCCTCTACTCCTTAAATCATTTTTTTTAAGTTTTTTGGTTTTTAAACACTCTTAGATTTTTAAATGTTCTTCTAGATGAGTGAGTGTTTTACTTGCACGTATTATGTGCACTCCATGGGCGCCTGACGCCTTCAGTGTTCAGAAGAGGACACTGAATCCCCTAGAATTGACATTATGGATGGTTGGGTGCTGTGTGGGTGCTGGGAATGGAACGCATACCCTCCAAAAGAACACCAAGTTCTCCTAACCACAGAACAATTTTGCCATCCTTAAATCTTAATGCTCCTCAGTATTTTGACATGGGCCACTTCCACACTTTACCTTCTCATCATATAGTCAACTGTTTCTGCTGCTTCAGCAACCACCTTAATGCTCTCCACACCCAATGTGTTTATCTCCAGCCCAGCCTGGTCCTTAAAGCTCCAATGTAAACCTCCAGGTGGGTACTGAGGTCTCTAGGTATCTGTCTAAAACTGAGCTCACCTCTGTTCTCCCCACCAAACATTTCTGTTAAAACGACAACTTACTGTTTTCGTGTTTTCTAGTACTAGTGAATAGCGATATCATCAGCAATTACTCAGAGGAGAATCTGCTTGATTTCTACTTCAAGCCCTGTTTTACTTCCTATCTTTTGCATTTATTCACTTATTTTGGCTTCTGCTTCTATGATTCAGCCAAGTTACTGTCACCTCTGGCCGGGTCTTCCTGAAAGTGCTTGTTTTCCACTCCTTTTTGCTCACCCAGCCAACCTGGTCTTTAAGAAAGTATGTAATCATAGCTGGTAACACATTCTTGAAGTTCCAGCACTAGGGAAGTCAGAGGCCAGTTTGGGCTCCACAGCAAACAAACAAACAAACAAACAAACAGGATGCATGCATCATTTTCCCTCAGCCTCTTAGCGTTGTCTTAATCAGCTCTCTCTGCCATAGTGAAATCCTGCAGATTGTGGGGTTTAAACATTTATTTTTCTAAGTCTTAGAGGAAGCCTGGGTGCCGGTCCATGTGGTTCCTGGTGAGGATTTTCTCTGTTGTGTTGCACATGGCCGACTTGACAGTGTGTCCTCACATGGTCTATTTGGGTCACCTGGGAGGAAGCTCTCCCCCCCCCCCCCCGCCCTCTTACAAGGCCACCAATCACACTGAATCAGTTAACCTGGACCTTCTGCGCTGCTTAGTTTTTGACAACTTGACAACTTAGTTTTTGACACAAACTAGAGTCACCAAGAAAAAGGGAACCTCAGCAGAGGAATTGTCTCTACCTGTAACCCCTTTTCTGTCTAACGATTGCTGTGGGAGGGCCAGCTGTCCGTGGATAGTGCTGTACTGGGGTGGATAAGAAAGCTGGCTGAGAAAGCCACTGAGAGCAAGCCAGTAAGCAGCACTCCTCCAAGGCCTCTGCTTTAGTCTCTGCCTTAGCTTGCTTCTTGAATCCCTGCCATAAACTCCCTCAGTGGTGGACTGTTGCCTGGGAGTTAACTAGAAGATGAAAAAAACCCAAGTTGCTTTGGGTCATGGTATTTGCCAAAGCAGACTAGGATACCTCCCAAGCGCCCTATCTCCAAAGACCAGCATGCTGAAAGTTAACGATTCAGCATATGAGTTTGAGGGGAATGCAAACTTTTGGTCCCCAAACACACTGTAAAGGAAATATAAAGACTAACATAGCTTACTATGTATTTATGTATGTGTTAGGATTTAGGCGACGGAGCTGAACGATGTCATCCAAGAAGTCACACCACAAGGCAGGCCTCTTGTGAGAGGTTTATTAAGGATGGGGAATGCAGAAGCAGCTTCTGGGGGGGAAGAAGAAAAGCGGCAGAGCAAAGTGGGCGGGGTTTTATAAGGTGACTGTGCATGTGCAAGAGGTAGATGCGTGCTTTGTGGCCATAAAGCTGTCGAAGCTCAGCACATGTTCAGGCACCAACGTGTGGTTCTTGGCGCCTGGAGACCGTGTTGCGCTGGCGCTGGTGGGTTATGCTATTGCTAGGTTCCTGGGCCTGATGGCGGAGCTGCTTGGTTACTAATAGTATTTGTTTTTTTCCTCAGGACAGGGTTTCTTTGTGTAACAGCCCTGGCTGCTCTGGCACTCCCTTGTAGATCAAGTTGGCCTCAAACTCACAGAGATCCGCCTACCTCTGCCTCCTGAGTGCTGGGATTAAGGTCATGCACCACCACGGCTGACTACTGTGTAGTTTTTGATCATACAGATATTTAGTTGCTTCTATATCTAGATAGAGAGTAAATGTATTTCCTTGCTGAAGGGCTATGCTACTGGAGATGGTTGCCTCGGTCCTGGTCTCTCCATTGCTTATACTCTAAGGGGAGCAGACTAGGAAAGCCTGGTGAGTCTGCAATCAGGGTGAGAGGTGTCAACCTGTGAATCATAGAAACAGCTCCATCTTTCTTCTCCAATAACCACTACCATTCTCTCTAGAAATCCTCTTGCTTTCCAAGCAGCGCTTTCAACAGAGTCATTAAAGTGGTCTCAGGTATTAAAACTTGTAGTTTTGTCTCATGTGGCTCCCTTAAAATATTTCATCTCCTATTTGATCCATAGCTTTCCCTGTTCTCTTAGTACAGGTGAATTTGTGCCTATGATTGTTCTCAGTGCAAGGGCTGATGTCTGCCTGCTCTGTCTTAAGTGAGAGATGGAGAAAGACTGTCCTTGAGGAAATGGCTACTATGACTCAGTTTCTTGAGTAACAGTTCCCCCATTGTGTTAACTTCGGCTCTCTTACCTGCACTGCGCCCACATTGTTTCTGTCTGGGGCTCCTGAGTTAAGAGATTACAGGCTCAGCTTTCTCCAGGGTACTCCCCCCAATGCCTTCCAGGGACATCTAACAGTCTTTTACTCTTGAGGACTCCTGAGGCACTTCTCAAGAAATGCCAGTCACCTTCTGAACTGTGTAAGGGCTCACCACCATGGAGAACCTAACATAAGTCAAGGAAGAAGGCACTACGTCTATCTTCGTACCCTCTTTAGTACCAATCCCTTACTCCCGTGAGTATCAGAGACTCAGCCAAGTCAACGGGCCAGTAAGATGAGACATTCTTAGCTTGGGGATAAGAGTGAGGAATACTTTGTTTAACCTTCTCTGTGGGAAGTGAATGGAAAAGGCAGGGCAGCCCCCATTTCCTTCAGCTGTGAGGAAGTAATGGCTTGTTGTCATCTGATGTGTAACAGTCACCCACAGATATATTAACAGATTGGAAAATTTCAAATGCCCCCAAGAGTTTACAATAAAATGACTAATATGAATAAATGCCTTTCAATCGTGAAATGATGATATAATGGCAGGGTACAGCGGTGTGTTCAGATTGTATATCTTTCTCCTCAGCGATCCTGCCTGAAACTTGGAAGAACAGAGGCTCTGATGGCATTGTGTGAGAATTTCTGAAGAACTTGCCAACCAGGTAGATACGGGCCCTGAAGTTATTTTCCTCAACTGTAAGTCACAACACTAATGGTTTCTTGGTCATCCTGGGTTTGCCCTGAAACAACTTGTTTAACTAAGACTTCAGAAACGGTGGGTCTCTTTCAGAAGTGTGTATGTGTGCACTTGCACATGCTCTGTAAGGTGTCACTTCTGTACAGATTTACTCCCCTTACATGCTAAACCATATCACCTGAGAGGCCAGTGTAGCCTTTGTACTTAGTAATGATATTTATTCTATATTGAGTATATTCTATATACCTGCCCGTTGTGTGCCAGGTACCATGTAAAAAGCCAAGGATAAAGCAATGAGCAATCTGGGTATAGTGGGGTAACCCTAGCACTGAGGAGGCTGGGGTAGGAAGAACAAGATAAATTTGAGGCCATCCTGGTCCACATAGCAAGTACCAAGCCAGTCAATGCTACACAGTGATACCCTGTCTCAAAAAGCAAATAGAAACATAAAAAGGAAGGTAGCCATTGCCTTTACCCAGAGCATCACGGCTGAGGAGGTTTGTGGTGAAGAAAAGAAAGTTCCGATGCTGGAAGGTGCCACATGCCTAAAATCTCAGCACTCAGGAAGCAGGGACAAGTGAATCTCTGTGAGCTTGAGGCCAGATTGGTCTACAAAGTGAGTCCAGGACAGCCAGGGATACACAGAGAAACCCTGTCTTGAAAAACTTAAATAAATAAATAGGTAAATAAATAAATCTATGTTGAGTTAAAAATTAAACTTGGAGAAACTGTAACACCCAGGCTGAAGGCACAATTAGATACTACTTTATACCCTTTAAGATTTTTTTTTGTTTGATTTGCTTTTTGGAGCAAATATCTGAAATTGAACAGTGTTGTAGGACTGTTGCCGGTCTTAACATGATTGACGTACATGGCTGTTGATTTTGACATCAGAATCCTTACAGGACTGGCCCAATGAGGGGCCCTGACAGGGGTGGGCTAACAAGGTGGTGCAGAGGCCTTGCTGTTGGTGTACCTTTTAAAAACTCTTACGTTTATCTTTTTCTCCCTACTCCACCCCAATCTATTCTAACTCCCCAACACCAGGTAGGAGAGAGAAAGGGTTAGTGGGAGAGGGGGCACAGTTCTCTCTTAGCTGCTTCCTGCTGGTCAGGATTGTTGGGTTCCTTGGAGCCAGTCCAATCCTTGTTTCAGGAGATCTCCAACTTCTTGTCTCGCAACAGCAACCAGGAGTAGCCTTGTTCTCCATTCTCTCTGGACTCTGGCATTTATTCTTTCTCCAGAGTCCTCCGAATTCACCTATCTGCAGCTGGCAAAGTGCTCCCCTCAGAACCTGCATGAGGCAAATAGTCTGCTGCTATGGACCAGCTGAGTCAGCCCCACACCTGGGACCAAAACAAAACACGTTTATATCCACAACAGCCTTGTCTCTCCTCAGAATGTTGAACCTGTAACAATCGCTGGTGGGGAGACTTCAGTGCCATAGCTGCTCTCAAGCTGCCTGTGTTCTTGTGAGTGACCCCAGTGACGTTTGTTATTCACCCAAATAACAGCGGACTTGGTGCCACTGTTTCCTCTGTCTAGTTCTCCTACCTGGCCTAAAGTGATGTGTGTTCATGTCTCCCAGGTTAAAGGGAACATGGCTGTGAGACCAGAAAAGATCGCTTCACAAAGTTACAGAACTGAAAGACTGATGGTTGAAAGTTGTAAATACTTGGCCTGGAGACCTGAGTTCAAACCCCTGAACACACAAGGTGAAAGAGAATCAGCTTCCGTAAGTTGTCCCCTGACTCACGCTCTCTCTAAATGTAAAAACCAAAGTGTACATATTTTCGTCTTTCTCTTTTTAATGACTCTATTCAAAAGTTACTGGTAAAGGAAGTGTCATGGTTTATTTGAGCACACTGCTTGTATCTATGTTTTTGTTTGTTTGCTTGTATAGCTTTTTACTACTGTCAATTTCAAGAACTATTTTTTTTTTTGAGACTGAATGTGAGGGGGCACAGTAGAGAAACTGAAATAGCCACTATGTGGATAAAAAGGGGAAAATTTATTCCACACAGCCAAGGCTGTCCCTCGGGAAAACAGAGAGCAGCAAAGGGGAAGGGGGTGGATCTTCAGGGCTATTAGGGAATGGGAGCCTGGGAGAATGAGCGACTGTGAGCTGGAGTAGGGGCTTTGCAGTGGAGGGACTGAGGGAGCCTGTCATCCACCTGGACCTTGACATGCTGATAGGCACCACATGTTGATGGGAGAGACATGTCCCTTTTGCTAGAGATGTGGAGAAGGACTCTTTTGGCAAGTGGGCTGTTGGCCTCAAGTCCTGAGCAGAACTCTAGAGAACCTGTGCCTAAAGCAATACAGTAAAGTAGAAGCGCCTAGGACCTGATTTGGAAGAGGCTGGACTGCACACATTTCTTTGTATCTTAGAATCTGTCTGTACCAGTAAATCCAGGGAGAAATACACAGTGAGATTGTTTTGCATTTCTGATCTGAATGGTAATTCAGTTGGGATGCCAATTCAGGGCCAGTTGCAGTAATGACCACAAAGGCAATGTCTTTGCTCGACATGACTTACTGATGACAGTGTTTTCACCAGACACTTCAAGAACATAGTTTTGACCAGGCATGAGGTGTGCCTTGAGTTAACTGAGAATTGAAGTTATTAACACTGCCTTGCAAATATAATTACCCAAGCAGACAGTTCCTGCATCCACATTGCTGACAGGAAAAATGAAGTAGACAAGCATTGCTCAGCTGGTTTGTTACAAATACATGTGGAGTGTCCATTGATTTTTTTCTCTTCCCTCCAAAACAAAAATCTACCACACAAATGATGGGGTTCTCTGTCACCACTGTGTGCATATTCAGTTTTATAGATTTGCAAATACAGTACAGCTAGATGTTTGATCTGTTAATATTCATTTCATTTAAAATATATGGTATTTTCTATTTTGCTAATCTGTTTTTATTTTTATTTCCAATATGCTCGCTCTTAAACATTCTTCCTTGACTGCCCCCATGTTATTTGCGCAGTGATATAAACTCACACAGCCTTCTCCATAATCAAGTAAACATTAAGAAAGAGATACATGTTCTTATACATAGGAATAAATGGATAAATAATATATACAAGACTGTGAATTTGTCATTTGGTTTTACAGATGGAAATCATATAAATATATATCAGTATATATGTCTGTACACATAATAAGCACATGTAATTATATATGTACACATATACATTAAACATGTGTATATACATGCATATTTATGCATATTTCCCTCCACATTATATATGTGTATGTACACACATATATGAATATAGTCTCCCTCACCCAGCAATACCCCTCATTTACTGTAATTTGATCAGGCAGGGCAGCCAGCAGGTCACTTTCTACAGAGCTGGCTTGCCTTCTCAGTACTGACAAACTTGCTTGTGTTTATTAACCCTCCCCACATTGCTAGGCAAACGTTTGGTTTTGGGGGCTGGAGAGATGGCTCTGTGGTTACAATACTGGCTGCTCTTACAGAGGATCCAGGACTGGGTACCTAGCGAGGGAGTGGCTCACAACCATTTGTAACTCCACTTACGGAGATCAGGCCCCCTCTTCCAGCATCCTCCTCAGGCACCAGGTACCTATGTGGTACACATGCATACTCATGCACATGAAATAAAAATAATAATAAATAGATCTCTTGAAAAAGAAAAGTACTGGAGGGAGAGAAGTGGATGGAACCATGGATGAACCCTGGGGCAAGAACTGACATTTGCTGCCTTGCTGTGACAGGGGCCTATCATTTCACTGTTTTCTTTCAATGCTCAAATTCTCCATACAATAGTAATTCTTCTTTTAAATGGCGGGTTTCCTGTCTCAGCTTTGCAGGTAGCTGGGGTCGTAGGTGAGCGCTGCTATGCTTCCCTCTTAATAATCAATTTAGGAAGGAAGCTGTTATAAGTCATCCTGTTTCTTTGGTGTACTTGAAGACCTGCTCTATTACATTTTCGTTATCTTTTTTCCTCCTCCTCTTCTTTTATTTTTATTTTTTTGAGGGAGGAGCTAACTGTTTGCCCTAGATCTCCTGGAACTCACTCTGTAGACCAGGTTACAGAAATCACAGAAATCTGCTGGGATTAAAAGTGGGGCTACTATGCCTGGCATTATTGACAACTTTTTTTTGTTTGTTTGTTTTGAGATGGGTTCTCTTTGTAGCCTTGGCTATCCTAGACTTGCTTTGTAGACCAGTCTGGCTTTGAACTCACAGAGATCCGCCTGCCTCTGCCTCCCTCTGTGCTGGGATTACCAGCGTGTAACCCATACTTGGCTAATATACAACTCTTAATCTCCAGCTAATCACTGGCTTGTCTTGGAAAAGTCCAGCACAAGCCCACATCTTATAGAAGTGGCTTCCAGTTCCTTTGCAGAGGCTTTGGTTTTTCTGGTTAGTGCATTCTGAAACAGTCTTCTCAAATTTGATTCTCTATCTTTCTTTTCTCTTCTGTGGAACAATTTCCCACTTCTGTGAGTAGTTTTGAAAATCACTTTTTTGCAAAGAGTTGCTTACCCATCGTCTTCAAAAGCCAGAATGTTACTTCCTGGTTGGAGATACAAGACCTGGAGTTCACATCCACTGATCACACCAGCTTTGCCGGCATTGGCAATCGTTAACTTGCCAACACAGCCACAGCTCCTGGGCAGCATGGTGGAGGTGGGTGTGCTCAGGTTCTGAGTTGCTGTACCTACTTGCTTCGGAAACTTCTGCAGCTTTCCTGGGCACCAGTCTAGTGTGTTGATGTCAGGAATGTGTGTGTGTGTCATTCATTGCTCACTTGACACTGAGGGAGGAAATCCCTTTAATGTACATTATTTCTTTCCAAGTTTGGTGTTTCTTTTCTTTTCTTTTCTTTCTTTATTATTTGTACATAGTCTGCCTGCATGTGTGTGCTGACACGCCAGCAGAGGGCACCTGATCTCACTATAGATGGTTGTGAGCCACCATGTGGGTGTGGGAATTGAACTCAGGACCTCTGGAAGAGCAGACAGTGCTCTTAACCTCCAGCTCCTAAATTTGATATTTCAACTCTGATGTGACAAAAAAAATTATAAGTCTTTGCCCATTGTTTTATTGATAAGAAAGTGTCACTTTCAGTGCTTCTCATACTATTGTAGGTAAAATGACCCTATGTTTGGTGTGCTGGGAAAACATTCTGACTTTGAAGCCTGTGCATCTTTATCTGATATATAACTAAGTTATATATATAACTAAGTTCTGTGTCATCCTTTGCCTTGAGATGGCTGTAGCAGAGTCAGAACACAGGAGGCGAAGTCTTGGCTTTGGGGATGTGGCTTCACTCTGGCTCAAGCTCCAGAAGAGGCCGTTTATGCACTTTGCTATCCAGTCCTCGTCCTTAGCTGCTGCTGCTGTCCTTTGGGCTTAGGGTGTATCACTTTCGGCCCTAGAGGTGTCCCTAAAATTCCTTTTTGTTAGTAATCTGATGCTGATTTGTTCCCACACATTCTAGCCAGCAGCTTAGGAGTTTGCATTAACTGATGGACGAGGTAAGCTAGTGTCTTCTGGGACTGAATGCTGCAGTGACTACCTCTTCTGGCCTTCTCTGGAGGCAGAAACTCCTGCTGCTGTGTTGTAGATGAAGTCTGGAGGGGTCCTCTATTCACTGCTGCAGAGCTGTCTTACCTCCCAGTGTCCACGGCTCTGAGGTGAGAGACCCTGAGGCAGCTTTCACCTTTCATTCCAGCTGTCTCCTCTGAAATTGTGGGTAATGAGTTTTCTTCAACCTGATGGCGTTCAGCTTCCACACTTGGGTAATCAAAGACATCGAAGGCTTCAGCCTCTGCCTTGAATTGCCCACTCCGGGGGAAAGCAGCTATATGGGGGTCACCTGGATAGGGTCCCTCGGCATCTGCAGCCCCATCACCCATTTGAAGACTGAAGTCTTGACTGGCATCTTGTGAGAGACTCTGAGTCCAATCACCTGACTCCTGGATTCCTTACTTTAAAAAACATGACACAATAACCACTTATTGTTCTAAATTGTTAATATTTGACACATCATTAGCTACTAGGTATTTTCCAAATGAAACTCTTACTTTACCATGCCTTCAAAATTGTCCCTTTCTGTTACTTCAGCTAAAACTCTTTGGAGAAACTTATGGAGGCCCAGCCAAGGTCACCAAACCACTATGAGTAATTGTTTTAGGTGACTAGGAGTAAACTTGGTCCATTACAGTCCTGAAGTGAGCATACCCAGAAGCATGTGTTTCTCATGACAGCTAAGGAGACAACCTCTAGTCACTAAATATGAACCATGCTTTAGACACCAGCAACACTCTCCTTTTGGGCATGGCATCAACTTCTGCCTGCCAACCCTTCCTTCCTTGGTTCCTCAGTCGGCCCTTTCTCCCACCCAGGCCATTAAATGTGGGGACCCTCCATGTCCAGTTATAGGCTCTTTTCCTTTGGCGATCTACTCTCTTTCCTGAAGAATCCTTACTCATCCTCGTGGAGAATATGCACTTGATGTTCAAATGTGTTCACCCACACTGGGCCTCGTGAGTTTCATCCACATTGCAGTACTCACTAGTGCTTGGACGGTAACCCATTTTATGGAGAGAGCGCGCCTTATCTAGCTACCCGTTTTGTTTTGTGGAGTTTTTAGTGGTTATGAATACTACTACTGTAATCATCCCCAACAATCTGTGTGACCCATTACTGCACTCCTCTTGGGCACACACCTAGCGGGGGGATGGCTGGCCTAGGGTCTGTGCATATGAATGAAAAAAGAGAGGGCATGATGTGCTCACATGTGGGTCGGGGAAAAGACTAGATATGAGGGAGGCACAGCCCGACTGAACCAGGCCATGCCAGGAGGGGTAAGGGAGGAAGAGAAGAGAGAAGGGGCAAAGACAGTACCTGGGAACCCGGACACCAAGAGCACCAAGACACTGAGTAGCCAGAACGGCCCGGGGTTATATAGGAATCAGAGAAGCTAGGAGAAGGGGTATGGCTTGCCGGGGCTGGAGACATTCAGGGTAGAGGGTGGGCATGCTGGTACTTGCTGAAGACCTGCCTGTTAGTGAGTGTCTGCTCTGATAGGTTAAGTAGGCACCTCAGCCATTTGTCCTGGGTTTGAGACCTAACACGGAGAAAGAAAGACAATCAGTCATGGCATGAGAATACTTTCAGCTGCCTTTCTCAACAAAAGGTCTCTCTTTCCAGTTTTTACATCCGTTTATTTTGTGTGTGGGTACATGTGTGCACGCATGTGCAGGCCAAAAAACAACTTGTGGGAGTCAGTTCTCTCCTTCCACCGTGTGTGCTCCAGGGATCAAATTCAGGACCACAGGCTTGGCACATGCTGGCTTGTGATGGCTCTGTTCTTCAGTGTTCCCTGTCAAGCGGCTGCCCCCATCCATTATGGCTATACCTGTTCTAATGGGTTATTAAGCAGATGAAGTCAGTGAAGGCAGGAATGTAATCAATAGCCTCTTTCACTAGTAACACTATTATTGGTTCTTTCACACAGTATGACGATGAGCAGCGTACCACAGGAGGACACTGTCATGTGAACATCACAGAGTGTACTCACACCCTCCCTGTGCTGTGTGGTACAGTCACAGCTGTGTGAGGGCTCCACCAATGAAAGCAGTGTTGGTTTCTGTGCAGACAGCCTGGAGAAGTGCATTGTGAGTCCCTGACCTCAGATGAGTGACCTCATCTGAAGGCCTCTGTTGGCACCTGCTTCTGCTGACCAAGATAGCAAATGAGATAATGACAGGAAGCAGGAAATGTGAAGGTGCGGAGAGGCAGACCTAATGTAGGGAGAGGAGGCCCTGGCAGAAGCCCGGCTTCCCGAGATTACTGAGCTCTGTGTTCCAGGAGCTGCTGAGCCTCGCGGAGATTTGCAGGTCGACTGTTTGGCCATGATTTCAACAATGGGAAATCATAGGCTTCCGTCACCCTAGCACTGAGGGAGTCCTGGTACATGTGTACCCCCTCTCCTTGGGAATGGCAGGACTAATCTACCACAGCTTTAGCAGTTGATTAGCTGGCTGCTTGAGGGCCTGTGAGCTTTTACATATCCTTCCAAAAGTTACACAATTTTTCCTATCCATCTACTTACACAAATCTATCTATCCATCATCTATTTACACAATTCTATCTAAACAAATATATCCATCCATCCATTTACACAATTCTATCTGTCTATCCATCCATATATTTACACAAGTCTATCTATCCATCTATCTACACAAATCTATGTATCCATCCACCTATCTATACAAATCTTTCCATCCATTTACACAATTTTATCTATCTATCTATCTATCTATCTATCTATCTATCTATCTATCTATCTATTTACACAAATCTATCTATCTAATTACAAGGAGATATTGTATTTTTGCATGAAAAGATATCAGCAATATAGTTTAAAGTCTCTATAATTCTATCCATCTAGTAATCAAGAGCTCAGTGAAATGCAGAGATAAACACTGCAAAAAAATAGAGATATGTAAGCAAGACAAAATCAAGACCAGATAGATGTGAATTAGAATAGATACTCATGACTGGGACCAGAAAAGTGATGGAAGAGAACTTTGTAAGACTTAAGGCATGATTCAATGCTTGATCTGCAATTTTGGCTTTGAACCCCCTCTTGGTGGGAAAGAGAAGACAGAAACAAGTCAGCTAATTCTTGAAAAGATAAGCACAGGCTGGGGATTAGCTCAGTGGCTGCTGAGGCCTAGGGACTTATGTTTGGATCCCTGCTGTTAGTTCACTAGTTAGTGCACTAGCCCTCTCCTACATTGCTTAGCAACCCGTGATGCCTTCACCTGCCTCCCTCAGGTGTGTGCACTTCAGCTGTGTACCAGATCCAAAGGACCAGCGCATCACTGCATGTTCTCTCTGTCTCAATTTTTCTCCCCTTGCCTGTTCCTCTGTCTCTCTGATTCTGTCTTCCTCCCTCCCCACACTGTATTCTCCCCTCTCTCTTCTAAGCTCAACCTCTGTCGCAGTATTGCCTTTCCCATAATAAACCTCTTTGTAACCGCAATCTGTTGGGCAGCATGTAATTGAGATTGTAACACTTACCACTCACATAAGAGCTGAGCATGTCCAGGCATGCAGGTAACCTGTGCTGGGGAGCTGAGAAGGAAGGACCACTGGGGCTTGCCGGCCAGTCAGCTGAGCTGGGAAACAAGAAAAATGAGCTTTGAGGCTATGCCAGGGAAGTGACATGCAGTGATTGGGACTTACGACTCCGTTGTGTGGCCGATTATTAATTTGTCAGTGCAGATGCATCACCACACAGGGTGGAGAGGTCAGTTATGGGCCAGTAATTGGGCTGGAATGACCAGAGCCCAGGCTGTGCCAAGTTGTACCATTGTGGATCACTGGGAGATCTCTATCAGCACATTTCCCATCGCTGTAATGAAGTAGCAGACTTACAGAGTAGCTTATAAAGAAGAGAGGCTTTAGCCCACACTTGGGGAGGTGGAGAGCCCACACGGCAGGGCACAGGTCCTCTGAGGAGCCGCTGCCTGCGTCACATCATTGCAGAGACAACATGGTGGGAGTGATGGCAAGAGGGACCATATAGCGAGACAAGAAGCCACGGAAGGATTCAGGGCCTAGGCTTTTCTTTAATCTTGGAAGAACCAACCAGTGTCTGATAGTTCTATATTAGGTTCTGTAGCTGGCCTTTGCTACTTTGTGGGTTCTTTCCCCCAGTTTCACTTCCTAACACTAAATAGGAGAAAAACGAGGATACAGGGGAGAGAGGAATTAAGAAAATTCTTGGATCTAATTTCTTTCCTTTGGCTTCTTTTTTGACCAGAGCTACTAGAAAACTATAATCAATCTCCCTAAATGATCAGCAACCACTGACCTTTCCTGTCAGGGCCCTCACATTTATGTACCCTCTGAAATGTTCCCACAATTCCAAATGTCACACAATCCCAGTAATTACCTGCAGCTGGCAAAACCATGTTTCTGCTAGAGCACAAGGTAAATGATGGTCAGCTGCTGTGGACAGTCTGAAGTAGCCTCACATCCCCACACCTGGAATTAAAACATTGTAATACTTCAGTTTTTAAAGAAACCAAACTTCCAGAATTCTCATTACAAGTTTCCTCTGAGGGTGTTGCCTCAACGACCCTCTACTGTGTCCCCCCCCCGTTCTGTTTTGTTTTTTTGCATCAGGGTCTTACTGTGCAGCCTCCAACTCAAAATCTTCCTTTTCTGGGCTCCTGAGTCCAGGGATTACAGATGGTGGTCAATCTGGCCATCTTAAACCTCACTTTGGAAAGGGCCCACCATTTACTTTGTAGAGAAAGAGGACTGAGACGTGTATCTTCAAACATGCTATGTGGTACAGGATGACTCTGAACTCCTGACCGTCCTGCCTCTCCCTCCCGAAGGCTGGAATTATGGTCTTGTGTCACCACACCCATCTTCAGGGTCTCCTTTTAACATTGCCACATGGGCATCAAGTTTTCTCTCCTCCTCTCCCCCTCCCCCCTACCGCTTCTTTTTGGTTTGGGCAACAAGTTTTCAACACTCAGATTGGGAAATAATATCCAAACCAGATACGAACCAGTCTGAAAAACAGTTAAGATTATAGTGCAACCCAAAGAACACTATGCCTCTGGTGTAAGCTGGTCCCTTTCGTTATTGTTTTAATCTCTTGTCTCTAGAGCCTGTGAAGCTCAGTGGGAGGTAAGCTTGTATGAGGCAAGTGTGTGTGCCTTTGTGGTGGTTACTCAGTAACCAGCCATTGTTCTAATAAAGCTGTAACATTGGGCTTCAGTTGGGGACACTGTGTTGGGGGAGTCTGTAGGAGGAAGTCCTGACTACAGGCAGGTGGTTCCAGGCCCTGTGGAGAGTAAGCTCTCTTCACAGACTGAGGTTTGGGACACCAGAAAGGAAACAGGAATGTCCAACTCCAGAATGTGGGTACATGTGACTGTATTAAGTGAAAGTGTATTAGGTGGAAGTGTGATGTGAATGAACTCAGTTTAACAAGTGGTTGGGGACAGGCAGTGGTGGCACACACCTTCAGTCCCAGCACTCAACAGGTAGAGGCAGGTGGATCTCCAGCCATCCTGGTCTATAAAGTGAGTTCCAGGACATCCAAGGCTACAAAGAGAAACCCTGTCTTGAAAGAAAAAAAAAAAAAGTTATAGTAATACTAATTTTCAAAGTGGTAGTTTTGTCTTTGAGTCGCTTAACTATCTGAAAGGCAACGTCTATTGCCAGAGGCATATTCTCTTAGTCATGGAATGTCAACCCTCTGTAGAAGGAGAAGACCCTCACGGAGTTGAGAGTTAAGCCCTGTCTTAAAGGGCAGGGAGCAGAGGTGCCACACAGTGAGGCACACTACATGCTCTGAATATCCTGTCATCAGGTGAGCTGTTGCCTTTTCTCTCCAATGCCAGCACAGTCCTCACTCTGAGCCTGCCAGTGGTGACACAGAGGAACCACCCTCTGACCACAAAGCCGTGGGCTTGGTGAGTCCCCTGCCTGAGGGCTGTGAGGAGAGTGAGGGGTCACACAGTACCTGACACAGGGGTGATGCTTAATAAATCCCTGGAGTGAAGCAGGCCAGCTCCCAATGAGAGCACACGGGCTGGCGCTGGCCATAGAAGCCTATCCTTCTCCCTCAGTCTGTGGGCCCTCCCACTGCCCACCCCCCAGCTGACTGAGGTTCTGTGGAGACTCAGCCATTACACCTGGGCACAGCCTGTTTGGGTTTGTGATGGTTTGTATGGGGAACAAGGAGAGTGTAATTCCAAACTGCATGCCAGAGGATAGTATGGAGAGGAGGGCAGAGTCCCATGGTAGGGTGAGTGTGGAGGAGGAGGTCTCAGTGCAGGTCTTGAGTCCCTGGGGTTCACACGTGGAACAGAGGCCACAGGAGGAAGGGAGCTGCAGCTGGCAGCACAGTACAGTGTCCTGTGGAGACATTGGCCAGGTGGAGTTGGGGGACTGGAGGAGAAGGGGATGGAGGGGTGTCAGGCCCTGGGTGGTAGAGTGGCAGGTGAGTGGGAAGAGATGGATGGCCTGACTCAAGCTCTCTTTCTGGAGGAATGTGGGTGAGCCACTCCACCTTCGTGACTTTTCTCTTAAACAGTTTTTGAACTTTGTTTTGTAGTGCAGGGCCGCACACACACTGGACGAGTGCTCTTCCACTGAGCCCCATGCTTGTCTTTAAGAGTGGCCGGGGGTATAGCTCAGCAGTAGAGGATGTGACTGAAGAGGGTAGAGTCTGGTCCTGTTAAGTGTCTGGCACACACTGAGGTCCGGTAAGAAGGCCTTCTGTCATGCAGGCGCTGTGCTGTGCACACTCTGCTGCCTCAGGAAGGGCATTTCCTGTGCCCTAGGCCCATCACCTTCTGAGCAAAGGAGAGGGAAGGTGGTCAGTGTAGCTTTAATAAAGCCGCTGTGGGGTGCGCTGGGACTTGCAAGGGACCATTTGATGCTTCTATCTTAGCTATTCTTCTAGTGCTATGAAGAGACAGTATGACCAAGGCAACTTATAGAAGAAAGCATTTAATTGGGGTTTGTGACCATCATGGTGGGAGCATGACAGCAGGCAGGAAGTAATGGCGCTGGAGCAATAGCTAAGAGGGAGAGACAGACTGGGCTTGGCATCGACTTTTGAAAGCTCAAAGCCCACACTCCCAGTGACACACCTCCTCCAACAAGGCCACACCTCTTGTCTTCTTTAGGGTTTCCATTGCTGCAAAGAAACACCATGATCAAAAAGCAAGTTTTTGGATATATTTGGATATAAAGGATATATTTGGCTTACATTGCCATCATTGCAGGAATTCAAGCTGGACTTTTGACTGGAGGCAGGTGCTGATGCAGAGGCCATGGAGGGGTGCTGCTCACCCTGCTTTCTAATTGAGAAAATGCTTTATAGCTGGATCTCATGGAGGCATTTTCCCAGCTGAGGCCCCTTCCTCTCTGATGACTGCAGCTTGTGTCAAACTGACAAAACCAACCAACCTAATCCTTCCTAAATACTCTACCAGCAGGGAACAAAAAACATTCAATTCTATGAGCCTATGGGGGCATTTTCATTAAAACCACCACATTCCACTCCTTGGCCCCCATAGGCTTATAGCCACATCATAATGCAAGAATGCACGTCAAAAGTTCCTGTGATCTGTCACAGTTTCAACGCTATTTAAAAGTCCAAAGTCTCTTCTGAGATTCAAGCCAATCTCTTAACTGTAATTCCCATAAAAGCAAAAATGAAGTTATATAGCTTCAGTACACAATGGCACAGAATATACATTCCTGTTCCAAAAGGCAGCAAAAAAAGGCATAGTTAGGAAATACTGGACCAAAGCAAGGCCAAAACCCAGCAGAGCGAACTCCAGATTCCTTAGCTCTCTGCTCGAGGTCCAGCTTCGGATCTTCCAGCTTTGCTCACTGCAACACACTCCTCTCTCTTGGGCTGGCTCCACACTGTTTACAGATACCCCACAGCTCTGGCATCTCCAACATCTTGGGGTCTCCAACAAAATTCAGGCCCCACCATCCCAACTATATTGGGCTGCTAAACCACAGTTAGGCTTCTCACGAAAGCATACTTAAGAAAAACTTTAAGTGCTACAATTACCTTGGGCAAATTGGTCATAAATTTCTATACAGTGTATCCCTGACCTCAAGGTTATGAGAACAGCCTGACCCTTCACTGTTATCTTCCTGCTTCTGTAAACGAGGCTTGCTTGCTTCCTGCAAATGCCCACAGTCACCTTACTGAATATGTGACAGAATTATGCTTTTTGTTGTTGTTGTTTTGTTTTTTTTGCCTGTGAAAGCTCATCAGATGGGAGTCAGGGCTGCCTCCCACTACTGTGTATGGGACAGCCTGCTGATGGAAAATAAAGGCTCCATGTCACTTGACTGCTTTGGGCTTCTGTCACGTGGCCTCTTTTCAGGTGTCCCACACATTTGGAGGTCCCACTGAGGAGAAGCTCAGACACCTGAGCTGGAGCTCCTCCCAGACAAGGGTAAGGGTTGTTGGCCCTAGAGGAGGCCCTGAAAAGACATTCCTCCACCAGGAACTGACTACCATTCACCAACATGCCTCCTCAAAGTTTTTGAAGGCGTCCACCTGTACCTGAGTCTGGGACCTGTGGGGGCCAGAAAAACCTACATTTCTGGTTTCTGGCCAGTCTGGGGTGCTGATCGGGGAAACTCAAGGAAAAATGGACACAGCTGTGGCTGGTATGCCACCATACACCCTCAGGATCTGGTTTGTCTTGTGCCCACCGATTTATGTTCTGCGTCTGTTGGTTTCATTTTTATTGTAGTTGTCCCTTGTCAATGTTTTTGTGTCCCCATTAGTCTGTTTCAGTTATAGGCAGACATGGGACCTCATCAGTGCTTTTAAACTCCCCCTCATAATGCATGTTACAAAACTTGGAGGCGGGCTTCAAAACATGGGAATCTGAGTTTGGAGTCCACTTCTCCAAGGGAACTCCATCGGCCAGCCTTTAGTGTATGTTGGTCCAATACCTGGTTACTCAACGTCAACATTGCTGCCAGCATTCAGCCTATTCTGGATACCCGGATCAGTTTCCCTACATTTGAATGTGGCTAGAGATCTTGGGAACACAATCTTTCTGGCTAATGAAGTGCCGCAAACATAATCCAGAAGCTCTCAGCTATGTGGAGAAAAGGCCTCCCATACTGCTAGAAAACCCTGACCCTGAGTTTCTGCTGCTACCCTGTCCCCTGCCTGTGACCCCTCCAGAACCTACTGCTCCTGACTTTGACCTTAGTCCTTGCACACCCACAAACATTTCAAAGGGAGACGTTCCAGAGAATTTCTCAGGGCAATCCAACTGAGTCTTGTAGCTTTTGCTGATTTGTTCCAAGCTGCTGAATTGTACCGATTCGTGCTGTTTGGTGTTGGCATTTGGACTGGGCTGTTGGTATCCGGACAAAGAAGAGTGGACTCACTTCAAGGAACTCCTTCTAAAAAGGTCTACAATCCCCTTTTCCTAATAACTTTCTTACCTACCTCTGGTCAGTGGGTTATAAGGGAGGCAGAAGCATTTAAGAACCCTAAATAAAGTTAGGTTTGTTGAAAACTCTAAGCCTACAGCCTTATTAAATAAAAAGCAGAAAGGACATCGACAGGATTACCTACCTATTGATTACCTACTCAGGAGGCAGAGGCAGGTGGATCCCTGATCTCAAGGCCAGTCTGGTCTACAGAGGGAGTTCCAGGACAGCCAGGGATATACAGAGAAACCCTGTCTCAAGCTCCCTGCCCCCCCCCAAAAATAAAATCATTTTTTTTTCTTGTGAATATTCATTGTATATGATACTTTTATATAAGGACTTCTTTCTTTCTCTTTACTTTTCACATTTTATTTAGTAAACATTGGGTGCCTACTATGTGCAAAATACCAGTGGAGGGGGCCAAGACTGCTGGGCCATGAAAACGATGGAATGACTGCTTTTAAGAAATTATATTCAGGAAGGAAAATAGCTATTAATGAAAGCAACAGAAGAGAATACTCAGGAAAAGTACAGGGGAGTTCCAGTGATGGGCTGAGTACAGGGTCAAGGATCATTTTATTAGGGAAGTTCAGTAGGCATGTGAGCTTTCTGGAATGTAATCCAGTATTTTTGCAAGGGCTATATTGGAAATACAGCCCAGAATTGCTTCCAGCCTCTGGCACCCCTTCTTTCTGTGCTGCTGTATCTCTTAAAACTCTGGCATGGTGTGAACCCTCATTTTTTTTTTTTTTGTATTTGCCCACTCTGATTGAATAAATATCCTATGGGATCTTTATGAAGATGCACTGTTGTTCGGATGAATAGATGATTTCATGATTCCTATTAATGATTTTATAGTATCCCTGATTTGATTCAAACAATTTTAGAAGTTAGATAGTTGATAGAAAGCTTACAGCTACAATAAATACCTTTATGGACCTCTAGCTGCCAAGTATGTATATCTCACTAGGAGACAGGCTTGAGACAGATTTGTGGCTTCAGATAAGCTTTCACTTTAGAGATGGAACCACAAAATCCTGGTATGCACCATAAATATCAACAAGTTGGCCTGAACTTCCCATGAACCCAGAATATAATGGGACTACGAAGAAATGTCTAAATTAAGTATAAACTTTAATGTCAAAAAATACAAACTTTTGTTGTAATCCTTTATGGCTTGTCAGCTTATGACATAAAATACTGTTCTTTTAAATCTACTTTGTATCTTGGAATGTAAGACTAACTAAAGGTTCAGCTTAGTACCAAAATATGTGAACACTAAATCCCTCCCATTGTAAGGTTTTATCTGTCTCTGTGATAAATCCTTTTGACCAAGGGGTAATTCTTTCTCTGACATAGAAAGCTTTTGCTTAGAGTATAAATGTAACCAGAGCAATAAAGTTTGTCGGGGGCCTTTGCCTCATCCATTCTCTAATGTTTGTGTGTGTGTGTATTTCCTATCTCTTATTTCTTACTCCTGTGTAGATTCACCAGTAAGCTGACAGACTCAGGGCTCCACCAGCCCTCTCAGATAAGATAAGCAGGCATATTTTAGCCTTTGGAGATCTCTGAAGGAGTTTGAGTTGATCCCAAGATCAAAGGGCCCCATTTCCACCCCTCTCCTGGCATAAGGCTTTCTCACAGCCCTGACTACAGGAAAAAAGTGGTCAGTTTCCTCTTCAGTGGCAGAACAGCCTGTCCTGAGGGGCAGAGATGAAACCTTGTCTCTCCCACCCCCTCCCTTTCCTTTTAATCAACTATAGTTACTGACTGCCTCTTGCAGTTTCTGAACTTAAAAGGTTTTTTAATCTAGAGAAAGAAACATCAGTCACTGACTGACCTCAAACAAAGAAAGACCCTGCATCGCCTATGTATCTTAGCAGGATTCTGTGGATGCCAGCGTGGAACCCGGGCAGTGCAGAACATGAGATTCTGGGATAGACACATTTAAAATGATTTTTAGGTATATGTGTGAGTACATGTTTGGGCCTCTGTGGGTGCATGTGCACCTCTGTGTGTAGGTGGAGGCCAGAGGACAATCTTGGGGGTCATTCCTTAGGCACCATTTGTTTGGTGGTCCATCACTAACCTGGAACTTGCCAAGGAAGCGAGACAGCTGGCCAGTGAGTACTGGGGATCTGCCTGTTCCTGTCTCCCCAGAGCTGGAGTTATAAGCCTGCAGCGCCACAACTGGCTTCCTAAGGACAATTTCTCATGTAGATACTATATGTTGACTACATTCCTCCCGTGGCCCCTGTTCCAAGCTCACAGCTCTTTGCAGTGCCTTGCCCGTATCCGGGCAGCTCACCATGGTTCTCTTCCAGCTGGATATCTTCCGGTTTAAGAGAGACGTATAAAGCGGGAGGATCTGCACGTGTGAGTGGTATACACAAATGGTCATTTTACTTTTCACTTTTTTTTTTTTAATTTACTATCATGCCTATACAATCTTTTCAAAAAAACCAAGATCAAAAGACAAAACAACTCGAGAGGCAGAGGCAGGCAGATAGATCCCTGCGAATTTGAGGCCAGCCTGGTCTACAGAGTGAGTTCCAGGACAGCCAGAGCTACACAGAGAACCAAACCCCTAACAACCAAACAATCTTTCCCAACGCAAACAAACAAACAAAAAAACCCCATACCTCTTATCATTCCGCGAACAGCTAGCTAACGTTTCTCCTGGAGTGAGAATTTGCTATGGCTTTCTCCATTAAGGGTCGGATGAGGAGGGCCTTGTAGTGAAAAACAATTCTGCAAAAAGATATTTTACTTGTGGGTAAACTGGAGTTCTCTTCTTCGAATAAACGAGACTACCAAGAAACAGGTGAGAAGACCATTAAAAAAGTTGAATTCTTCTAAAAAGAAGCGAATTTATGGACGAACCATTGCTATTCCAAAAGGTAAAGGTGGACGCGCGCTGCATGCCGGGATTTGCAGTCCCTTGGGGCAGGCGAGACGCGCCTGCGCAGAGCGACGCGGTGCTCTTCTGGCGCATGCGCGCGGCGGTGGCGGCAGACTCGGTGTCTCCCGCTGCAGGCGCACGGACCTTGCGGAGGGCGGCATGGCGGCGACCACGGCGGCCCTGGGGCCCTCGGCGCTCGGGCAGAGCGGCCCCGGCTCCATGGCGCCCTGGTGCTCTGTGAGCAGTGGCCCATCTCGCTACGTGCTCGGAATGCAGGAGCTGTTCCGAGGCCACAGCAAGACGCGCGAGTTCCCGGCGCACAGTGCCAAGGTGCACTCGGTGGCCTGGAGCTGCGATGGCCGTCGCTTGGCCTCGGGGTCCTTCGACAAGACTGCCAGCGTGTTCTTACTGGAGAAGGACCGGCTGGTGAGCTTGTCGGGCGCGGTCCTGGCCGGGGAGAGGGCTGTGTGTGGAGGGAGAGAATGCAGGCGGGGGCGGCGGAATGGACGGGAGCAAGACCTGTCGTTGGTGGAGATGAGGAAGGGTGGAAGAGTCGGGTGACGAGTGGGCTGAGGCCGCCTGGTGGACGGCGGAGAGTGAATCTAGTGGCAGTGAGAGGTGTGGCGACGGGGCTTCGGGCCAGGGGAAGTTGAAGTCAGGTGTCGGCAGTGATGAGGAGCCCTGGGAAGGACGCTGGTGGGGAGTGGCTAGGAGACAAGGCGGTTTTATTTGAAAACGGTAGCTCATCCTTTGGGAATGGGCAGTGGCTTGGGATAGTGGTAGTAAAAGAGAAAAGAAGAAAGAAGGGGGAGGCCATGAAGGACAAGGCTAAGAGTATTAGTGTCGAAGCTCAGAGCAGTTCACCCGGCCTGAAGTTTGGGAAAAAGGATTATTATTTCGAATTATCCGAATCTTTTCTGGTTTCAAGGTACCATTGTTTGGATAAAAGTTACACGTGGCGGCGTGTACATCTGTGTGAAGTGGCACCTGGATGCTGTTCTTTTCAGGTCAAAGAAAACAACTACCGCGGACACGGAGATAGTGTGGATCAGCTTTGCTGGCATCCAAGCAACCCTGACCTCTTTGTCACTGCGTCTGGAGATAAAACCATTCGCATCTGGGATGTGAGGACTACAAAATGCATTGCCACTGTGAACACTAAAGGTAACTTCAGAGGGGGCCTCGAGAGAGAAAAGCTAGTGTCATGCTTAGCAACTGTTTACTGTGTTCTCTGACTGGTGCTCCAGGTCATGGGTTACTGGGACGGGATACATGTGCCTGCCTGGGGGAGGCAAGGAAGAATAGAATTTGAGCATCTTTCTGATCAGCTGTGGTAATTATTGGTTAGACTGAGAAGTTGAGCACTGGAAACAGTGCAGAGAGGAATAGGATGTGCAAAGGCTGGAGAACTTGGGAAATTCTGGCAGGTTAGAATGGCTGAAACTCTGATGGCTGGAAAGCTGCGAATTACAGTTAAAGGCTGTGTTTATGTCATACAGTGTCCTGTAATCTTCAGTCGTTATAAGTGACCCTAAGAAGTAATTAAAGAGTTGTTTAAAAGAAGCATTTTTGCTGTTTTTAGATTTTTTTTTTTTTTTGTTTACGTGTGCACCGCGTGTGTATAGGTACCAGAAAAGGGCGTCTTATCCCCTGTAAATATAGTTACAGATGGTTGTGAATGGTGGGTCCTGGGAATTGAAATCAGATCCCCTGGAAAAACAAAATGAGTGCGCTTAACCCCTGAGCAATCTCTCCACCCCACAGCCTTTTTTTTTTTTTTTTTTTTTTTTTGAGATAGTGTTTCTTTGTGTAGCCCTGTCCTGGAACTCACTCTGTAGTACAAGCTGGCCTGAAACCCTGACTGCCTCAGCCTCTCAAGAGCTGGGACTTGAATGAGTGAGTGTGTGTGTATCTTTCACCACTGCCTGTCACCACTGCCAAGATCCCACAACAGAATCCTTGACACACATTCTGCTAGATTTTAAGCTACACTATAGACAGTAAAATGTGAAAAAATTTGGCATTTTTGGTTCAGTGAGGTTGAAAACTTACACGTTCAATGTGGACACTCCTGAACCTTGATGATGAGACTGGCACCAGGGAGTGGAAACTGTGGTGCTTTTGACAAATGTTTGACGTGTGGTTACCACCGTCACAAGCTGCTGCAGTGGTAGGGCCCTTCTGTTGACTTGGTGATGAATGGGTGCTGAGGACAGCTCTGATCTTCTCCTTAGGATAGCAGAGTAAGCTTCTGAAGGATGATGGCCAGAGTGACCTTGCTGATGGGTTGTGTCTGGGTTCCCAGGAGAGAACATTAACATCTGCTGGAGTCCCGATGGGCAGACCATTGCTGTGGGCAACAAGGACGATGTCGTGACCTTTATTGATGCCAAGACACACCGTTCCAAAGCGGAAGAGCAGTTCAAGTTCGAGGTCAATGAGATCTCCTGGAATAACGATAACAACATGTTCTTCCTGACCAACGGCAATGGCTGTATCAACATCCTCAGGTGAGGGCTCCTGGCCTGGGGGACCGTCACACCTGTGTCCTGGGTGCTATGTCAGGTGCGGAGATAGATGAGTTAGTCTGAACCTGTTTTAAAACACTTGAAAGGTAAAGAGGATTAAAAAAATCCTTCTTTTAGGCTTGTTTAAGCCAGGTATTCTGGATTTTATTGAGTGCTTACTGTTATTGACTGTACCTTCCTGTTTAACTGACAAGGAACTGAGGTTTGTAAAGGTTTAACTAATTATCAGATGGCCAGCCAGGGGCTTCATGCACCTTGAATTGTAACTAATTCAGTTCCTTAAAATTTCAGCTTAAATATTTTTCTTCTAGTAAAGTCACTTCTTCTTTCTATCCTACTTACTCTCCAGGATTAAAGGGTTTTAGTGCATCTTATGCACTTTCTCTAGGAAGCATTCTTAATTCTGTACTATAATGTGCATTTTGTCTCTATTTCTCCTTATACTACCAGTTTCATGATGGGAAGGACTGTGTCTTGCTTGCCATTGAATTGCTAATGCTTAACCTAGTGCCAGTCTTCATAGTGGAATCTCAGTTTATATTTGTACTATAAGCAGGTGAAAATGTGGAACCAAAATTGAGGACCATAAGAGTTTGTTTATAGCTATGCCACTGAGTAATACAAGGCAGAGAGAAGGCCATAGATTCTGTGGTAGAAAGGTTGAAGTTTGCTGTGAATGCCAAGTTAAACAAAACAAAACAAAAATCAAATTAGCTGTGGACATTGAAGGAGTTACATATTTGTAAACTTGTAGATAACTTCTGTGTTTTGTGTATGTGTGTTTCTTGTACTGGATAAGTTTTGCTAGGTACAACAATCCTGGGTTGGCATTCTTGCTTCTGTGTTGTAGGTGCACTTTATTTTTCCCCAGAGTGTTGCGCTCAGGAAGTCTAGAGATGATGTAGTTTTCTGTGAGGTCCAGGAACCTCACTGGTTTATCTTGGTGTTAAGTGGTATAGACTTGTGTACTTAGGCCTGAGTTGTACTTTTTTTTTTTAAATTAAGATTTATTTATTTATTATGTATACAATGTTCTGCCTGCATGTACACCTGCACGCCAGAAGAGGGCACCAGATCTCATTACAGATGGTTATGAGCCATTGTGTGGTTGCTGGGACTTGAACTCAGGACCTCTGGAAGAGCAGCCGGTGCTCTTAACCTCTTCAGCCGTCTCCAGCTTGAGTTATGCTTTTTTAGTGGCTTGAGAAAAAAATTTTTTTTTATTTTTTCTTTAGGGAAGTTTTTGTTACTGTTTTTCTCTTGTTTTTATTGCCGTGGCCCTCTTCTGCACACTGATGGTTCTGTCTTGTTTCTCAGCTACCCAGAACTGAAGCCTGTGCAGTCCATCAATGCACACCCTTCTAACTGCATCTGTATCAAGTTTGACCCCATGGGGAAGTACTTTGCCACAGGAAGTGCAGATGCTTTGGTTAGCCTCTGGGATGTGGATGAGTTAGTGTGTGTACGGTGCTTTTCCAGGTAAGGAACTTCTCCTGTTGGGGAAATCACCCGTTCCTCCCTCTTTGGGGTAACTGATGTTTCTGTCCATCCTCTCATAGACTGGATTGGCCTGTGAGGACCCTCAGTTTTAGCCACGATGGGAAAATGCTGGCGTCTGCCTCGGAGGATCATTTCATCGACATAGCTGAAGTAGAGACGGGTAACTAACTTGAGTCCTTTATGCTTGGTACCTGGGCCTTTCTTGTCAGGTTCAGCTCTGGACACACTGTCCAGCATCATCAGGAGTGGGTTTGTTTCATTGGACAAGTTTGTAGCTAAGACTTCAGTTTCACATAACGACAGGGTGGGAGGACAGGATCAAGGTGCCAGGTTTGAAGGGAAGTGCTGGAGGTGTGTGTGCGTTATTTCTTCCATCATTTAAAAATACATTTTAAAAAAGTGCTTTTTGTTTGTTTTGTTTTGTTTCTGAGACAAACAGAAACTCACTTTGTAGCTCTGACTGACCTGGAATTCCTGATGTATATGAGGCTGGCCTTGAACTTACAGAGATCCATCTGTCTCTGCTTCCTGAGTGCTGGGCTAAAGCGGGATGCCATCTTGCCTGGCTAAAAGATTCTTTAAATGAGAGACAAGGAGCAGGCATTTGCGTGTATCCCCCCCACACCCTGCTGCCTCCTTTCTGACGTCTTCAGTTTTCTGTGTTCCCCAGTTTTGCTTCTGCTTTGCAGTCCTTTGTAAATACATGATTTTATGTATTTGTGAAATCGAGGGAACCCCTCCCCCATCCTCCGGAAGCCATGTGTAGTGCTGTATGTCCTTGACCCTAGCACTCAGGAGGCAGGGGTAAGCGGATCTCTGTGGACAAGGCCAGCCGGGCCTACAGAGTGATTCAGGAGAGCCAGGGCTACACAGAGAAACCCTGTCTCAAAAGTTAAAAATAACAAAACAAAACAAAAACATAAAGAGATCTAGCACCCCCAAATGAGAGAAAACATGGACTATTTATCTTTCTGATGAATTTTGTATAATTACCACCAGGTTATGATGATGTTAATTTTGGTTTCTTTTTCTGTGGCTGTGATGGAAATGGCTTTAGGAAAGCAGCTTCGTGGAGAAAGGGCTTACCTGGCTCACAGTCAGGCTGCCACCCCTCGTGCCAGGAGCTGGGCATGCCAGGAGCTGGGCATGCCAGGAGCTGGGCAGAGCATTGTGGCCACGGTCATGAGCAGAGAGCAAGAATAAATATTTGTGCTTGGCTTGCCTTCTCCTTTCACTCAGTTCAGGGACCAGTCCCTGAAACTCACATTCAGGGAGGTCTTCCAGCCTCAAGGAACTCAGCCTCAAGGAACACAGGCATGCCTAATGCAGTCAGAAGTTCACTGAGTCACACGCCCTTCACAGCGTGTGGACAATTCAGACTGACCAGCACAGTCTTAATTGAACCATGTACAGAATGTAGAATACTGAGCATGGTGACTGTTACTCTCGGGTGAGCGTTGCCAGCCGATCAGCAGTGCCGGCCCTTTAGGGCAGGTGTCTTAACTCTCCACTCATGACCCAAAGGGGTCAGGCACAAAGCTGCCTGAGAATTTCCATGTGGTCTCAGGGGTGTAGGGATGTAGAGCAGGTATACAAACTGGTTAATGATGACCAGGGTTCGTGGGTTGAGCTCAGGCCACTGGTTTTGCTTGGCAAATGCCTTTACCCGATGAGCTGCTTCGGCAGCCTCACTTCATTCTAGGTCTGTGATCTAGAGGTCACTTAGTCTTTGTGCATTTCATTTCTTTTTTTTTTTTTTTCTTGTCTTTCTATGCATTTTTTTATTGGAGTAAATAACATTAGGTATAATTTCTTAATATTTTTGATAGTTTGAAACAAGAATGAATTTTGATTTTATTTCTGATAAAGCATTGAGTAGAATTTCGCTTTAACAGTTTTCAGACATGCCACACAACCTGCAGCAGTCTGAACTGGTCGCCAGGGAGCTCTCAGCCTCACACAGTCAACACTGTGTCTTTTAGCGACTAAGCTTTGGAATAAATCATCCAGTACTTACTGTAGCTAGTGTTACTGTCACTTGGATGAAACACTATGGCCACATTGGGCAGGAAGGGGTTTTCGGCTAAATCAGGACAGGAACCTGGAGGCAGGCGCTGAGGCCGAGGCAAGCTGCTCACTGGCTTGTTGGTACAGCTAGCGCAGTCTGCTCTCTTGTACAATCAGGGATGGTGCCACCCTCAATGGGCTGGGTCCTCCGCCAGGAGTTACCAACTGAGAACATGCCCTCCAGGCCCGCCTTCAGCTCGATCGGGCTCTCCCTCTCTAGTCCTCGCTCGTGTCATGCTGACATGTACTGGGCGGCAGAACTCAGTTATAAGGCTGCATGGCTACCTGAGAAACACTTCAGGATTTCTCATGTGCTTTGGTGTTCCTGAATTGTGTGAATCTTTTATCTTAACCAAAGCTGTAACAAATGATAGAGAGTAAAACACCTAAAAAGTGACAGTTGTTTTGCCAGAAACCACTGGGTATGTCCACACAGCTTGGAAATGATTCAGACAAGTTGTAGATGGTTGTCCCTGACATAGGATTATGTTAAATACTTCCTTTCTATATAAAACAAAAATATGTACTTCCACATAAGCATACACATGCTTTCCTAGCATCTGATACAGGTGACCTGTTAGATGTGTGTCATTCAGTGTACCTAGCATCTTTATATTGGTACCACGCTGTAAGTCTTACAGAAATTAAAAAAAACATATTTACTGTGTATGGCTGTTTTGCCTGCATGTATGTCTGTGCATCATGTGTGTAAGAGGGAGTTAGATTCCTGGGTGTTGGATCCCTTTGGACTAGAGTTAAACAGATGCCCTTGAGCTGCCATGTAGCTGCTGGGAATAGAGCCTGGGTCCTTTAGAAGGACAACCAATGCTCTTAGCTGCTAAGCCATTTCTCCAGCGCCTGCATTCTAAGTCTTAACTCTTAAGTTAGGGAAAAAATTGGAGCAGAACTGAAAGAAATCATGTATATTTTCAACAAATTAGAAAAGTAAGCTTTTCAGAAAAAATTATTTGCAAGGCTTTGTGGTGTAGGAGGTCTGTTTCTTTGGAGACAAAGTATCTTCATTTCTTGTTTGTGCTGTTTCTTTAGATGTCGCTTTGTTAAGACACCATTCCCTCTCACTCAAAATAGTTAAAAGAAACCTCTGCTCTGCAGGGCTGTTGCTGAGGGTGCTTAGGAAATGACAGCTGTTGATTTGTTTTTCAGAGGTCAAAGCCTAGGTGCTGAGTTAGCCTGCCTCCAGCTGCTGTGTGTGCCATCTCTGTGCCAAGTAGGTAATGAGGTGCTGTTTACTGACATTCTTTATGTTGCTTTCCATAGGAGACAAGCTGTGGGAGGTGCAGTGTGAGTCCCCGACTTTCACCGTGGCTTGGCACCCCAAGAGGCCTCTGCTGGCATTTGCCTGTGATGACAAGGATGGCAAATACGACAGCAGTCGGGAGGCCGGGACTGTGAAGCTGTTTGGGCTTCCCAATGACCCCTGAGAGGGCCTGGCAGGAGAGGGGCCCGGCAGAGACTGCTCTCCTGTGTAGTTGCATCTATTCTCTGGACTTGGTGGGCACCCTAAGTGTATATAAATTCTTATAAATTACAGAAACATCTTTGGTCGGGCTGCGCATCTCTTCACCCTGTGGTCTGGAGAGCTGAACCCACCTGGCCTGTGGTGAGCAAGTGCTCCACCCCTTAGCTGTGTCCCCAGCCCTCCTGGCTGTGCTTTCCTGTATTCTGTGTTGGCTGTTTTCATCCTTTCCCCTGTGGTCAGTTAGCTAATGAGGACTTTGCGTATGGGTCGTGGCCATACTTTTCGGGTTCTCTGAAGAGTTAGAGGCTGGCTCCCGACGGAAAGGCCAAGGATCCAGTAGTTGTTACAGCTATTTACACGGTCTCCGCAGCGCTAACCTGGAGTCCCTGGGAATTCCTAGAGCGCTGCTGGTCGTCTGCGCTGGAATCCTGAAGAAGTAGGTTCTAAAGCCAGCAAAGGAATGTCTTAGCAACAGGATAGATGAACTTGGCAAAGAGTGAGGGCAAGTGAGCAAAAACAAGCCTCCTTTTCCATGTCCTCTTATGTAGGTGGCCACCAGAATGTGTGGCACAGATGCGTGGCTCTTCCCACCTCAGGTGATGAAGAGAAACCTCTTACACGTGTGAGCAGCAGGTTGGGTTTCAGTGATGTTCAGATGTAGTCGAGTTGACAGCCAGGACTAACCACCCTGTATCAGCATGCCCTCCAGGAGTGCCCCACCTTCTGGGTCTCAGATGTGTGGCAGTTTGTTGACCACACCGCTGCGTAGGCAGTTCCCTTTAGAGGGCGGGCAGGGCAGGGCTGGGATTTTTAAAAAGGATTTTGAGAACAGAGCATTTAATAAAACTGGCATTTATTATGAGGTGGCTAGAGTTACTGTGTTACTACTTTTACCCCAGGAATATAATGTAGTGTTAAAGTTTTGTTTTGTTTTTAAATCTGAGAGGTAGTTTATGATCCTGTTTAACGTTCTAACCAAGAACTCTGAAGTGCGGTGCTGGGCTACTGTGGTATTTTAAAGTCATTTGTTAACAAGGATGGGTGTATTTCTGGCCTCATTCTACCTGGTTTTGTATGTAACAAACTAAGGCAAACATTGTGAAACAAATAACTACAAAGTCAGGTTGAGACAAATACAAATTAGAATAAAGAGTCCAGGTTGAAGAGCGGTAGAAATGTGGAGGAGTGAGGCCATGCATGGATGATTTAACTAACATGACTTTGAACCTTGAAGTAAACTTAAGATGGAGGTGGTCAGTTAGCTAAGTCTCTGGTTTTGATACACGTTCTCCTGTTTCCCAGGCTAGCCTGGGACTTGTTATGTAACCCAAGTTGGCCCTGACCTCACTGCCCTCCTGCCTCAACTTCCTGAATGTTACAATTCCAGGCATATATCACCATCGCTGTGTGAACCTTCTTGGACTAGGCCGTCCTACACCAGTGAGTGGAAGAGAGCTCACTGGTGGATGGAAGCCAGGACAGCTCCCGAGAGGCCTCAGGCCTGGGGCCAGTTTGCAGCCTCATTTTATACTTAGAACCACAAGGTGGCATGAAGAAGCAAGGAGAACTTGACGGAAGTGTACTGGCAGGTTGTCAGCGGCATCACTGCGCTGCTCCAGGTCGCTCTGTCCAGGCAGCGAGTGGAGTTGTGCTCTGCATCTAGCAGCGCAGGCAGTGCTAAGCACACCTCTAAACGAATAAACCAGCACCTGAGAATGGGCCTTCCTACTGTACTCCACTTCTCCATGCTCGCTTCTTAAGGGAGACGCTTGGCAGGGCTGCTGGACGGCCCCGTGGGTGAAGAGGTCCCATTCTGAACCTGACGTCCTGTGTTCAGTTCCCGGGACCTGGGTGGTGGAAGGGAGCGCTCCAGCCCTAGAACGCTGCCCTCAGGCCTCCATATTGCTGTCTCCATGGAGTAGTCAGACTGCCAAACGCCACATTGGCCATATTATTAGCGCTTACTAACTCCTTGACTCCAAAGGTTTTTTGGTGCTTTGAGACAGGGTCCTGTGGTGTGGAGTTTATTTTCAGCTTCATAATCTTGGGAATTACAGGTAACTCACTGCTAGTCGTGATCAGGTTTAGAGCCAGGCTTCCTGGGAGGCCCGAGTGGACCTCAACTTTGTATCTGCCAATTGCCATCTGTGGGTCACAGGAGGGAAGCCTTGGCACCCAAGCCTTGGCTGCTGTCCCGGGTCAGTGAAGTGATCTGTCTCAGTCTTGGGCTTTGTAATGTTTCTCCCAGCTTCCCAGCAGCCCCTCAGGACCTTCCCTTCTGCCCATGGTTTAAGTTCAGTGGTGCTCCTGTCACTGGAGTACCTTTGGACATATTGTTTTGCTTTCTCATTCCTGTGCTCACTGTTGTATCGGTATGTTCCCCTCAGCGTTGGAAGGGAGGTAGGTCTGTGGGCCTGGTTCCATCCACGTCTGGGTGGGGTTTTCCTCCTCCAGCTGGGGTAAAGCGCTGCACGCTACCCCCTGTTGGATGTCCTCTGCGGGAGTGGTTGCAGCTCCGCTTGCTCCCCCTGGTGGCAGTCTTTGCACAGTGGGTTTTTTTTTTTTTTTTTTAAACTGTGTCTCCTTGGTTGTCCTAGACCTCACTCTGTACACCAGGCTGGCTTCAAACTCAGCGATCCATCTGCCTCTGCCTCCTGAGTGCTGGAATTAAAGGTGTGTGTCACCTAACCTGAACCCATCTCTCTCTGGGAAGTCGTCCGGAAGAATGACTGTGCTCTAGACCTGATGTTTCCCATGGTTTGAGTATATTCTGTAGCACAGAGCTGGGGGAGGCTGAAGGTTGGCTGAGCACTGGATTTTATTTGTCAGGGTGACCCTGGGCTTTGCTGATCCCTGACCTATCGTGTGTTAGCCTGAAGGGAAAAAAAAGTAAAGGATAGGAACTTCTAGCTGGGCATGGTGGCTTGAATTGGAGCACACAGGAGGCAGAGGTCAGCCCTAGTCTACAGTCTCAGGCCAGCCAGGGCTACAGGACTGAGACCCTGTGCAAGGCAAGGCTTACTTACTGGCAGAGGGTCTAGAGGACAGGGCAGGGAGTCATAGTCTCACGCTGGTATCCCTGAGGGCAGGCAAGTGAATCAAAAGCAGGCTAAGCCCAGTGAAGGTCAGCATTGCTCACAGGAGACAGCTGTGGCTGCCAGAGGGGAAGCGGAAAACCAAACCAGAGAGGCCTGAGTGTCTCTGTGTCTGTCACTGGAGGGAGCCTGACCTGTGGGTGGGCTTAGTTTAAACAGCGGTAGGGAGGGCCTAGAGAGATGACTCCGCAGCTAAGAATGTTTGCTGCTCACGCAGAGGACCCCGGCTCTCTTCCAAGCACACACATGGCAGCTCACATTCTGTAACTCTAGGTCCAGGAGGGCTTATATCATCTCAGGCACGGCATGCATGTGGCACACATAAGTAAACAGGCAAAACACTCATACACACAAAGATACACAGAACAAGTGTTAGGTGTGCTCTTGAGTCCCGTGGCTCTCTGAAGGCTTAATCATGGAGGGAGAACCATGGAATGTCAACCCTCCATGGAGGGGCAAGACCTCACGGAGTTGAGAGGTAAGCCCTGTCTTAAAGGCAGGGAGCAGAGGTGCCACACACTGGAGCACACTGCACATTCCAAGTGCCGCCTGTACTTCGTTATTTATACAGTATATTGTCTGCATGTGTGCCAGAAGGCCGGCAGAGGGCGCCAGACATCGCTGTAGATGGTTGTGAGCCACCATGTGGTTGCTGGGAATTGAACTCAGGGCCTCTGGAAGAGCAGCCAGTGCTAAACCTCTGAGCCTCTGAGCTAAACCTCTCCACCTCTGATGCCTCTTACTCTGAGCCTGCCAGTGGTGACGCAGAGGAACCACCCTCTGACCACAAAACTGTGGGCTTGGTGAGTCCCCTGCCTGAGGGCTGTGAGGAGAGTGAAGGGTCACACAGCATCTGACACGGGTGATGCTTAATAAATCCCTGGAGTGAGGCAGGCCAGCTCCAGTGAGAGCACAGGGGGCTGGCCGCAGAGGCCTAGCCCTCTCCCTCAGCCTGTGGGTTCTCCCACTGCCTGCCCCACAGCTGACTGAGGTGCTGTGGAGAAGACTCAGCCATTACACCTGGGCACGGCCTGTTTGGGTCTGTGATGGTTTGTGTAGGGGGAACAAGGAGAGTTGCATGCCAGAGGATAGCATGGGGAGGAGGGCAGAGCCTCAGGTAGCTCTCCGTTCAGAATCTGTTTCCCGGCCCATTAAGGCATATTACACCTGTGACCACAGCCACTACCAATGGATTCTGAAAGGGAGAGCAGAGGTAGAACAGCCAGTGTGCGCGAGATCTCAGACAGTAATGAACACAGAACAGACTCTTGGGAGACAGCTTCAGTGAGCCAGCTCATTGAATGGGGAAAACAAAGGCTACTTAAACCTTTGGGGTTTTGTAGGGATTTTGGGGGTGAGTGTATATCATTGGCTGGGGATGCCTCATTTTCATGAGGAAGCATTCCAGATGCTGCTGGGCATAACCTTATAAAAGGAGAGGAAGTTTACCCTGGCTACCAGGCTCCTTGACCTTCTAGGGGGTAAGGGGAGTGCAGAGCTACATGCACCAGGCCACACAGGCTGTGGAGGGTGACTGGTCTGACTCCTGCTTCTCCTAGGACAAGAGTTCCAGGAGCAGAGGCCACAGGAGGAAGGGAGCTGCAGCTGGCAGCACAGTACAGTGTCCTGTGGAGACATTGGCCAGGTGGAGTTGGGGGACTGGAGGAGAAGGGGAAGGAGGGGTGTCAGGCCCTGGGTGGTAGAGTGGCAGGTGAGTGGGAAGAGATGGATGGCCTGACTCAAGCTCTCTTTCTGGAGGAATGTGGGTGAGCCACTCCACCTTCGTGACTTTTCTCTTAAACAGTTTTTGAACTTTGTTTTGTAGTGCAGGGCCGCACACACACTGGACGAGTGCTCTTCCACTGAGCCCCATGCTTGTCTTTAAGAGTGGCCGGGGGTATAGCTCAGCAGTAGAGGATGTGACTGAAGAGGGTAGAGTCTGGTCCTGTTAAGTGTCTGGCACACACTGAGGTCCGGTAAGAAGGCCTTCTGTCATGCAGGCGCTGTGCTGTGCACACTCTGCTGCCTCAGGAAGGGCATTTCCTGTGGCCCTAGGCCCATCACCTTCTGAGCAAAGGAGAGAGGGAAGGTGGTCAGTGTAGCTTTAATAAAGCCGCTGTGGGGTGCGCTGGGACTTGCAAGGGACCATTTGATGCTTCTCAGTATCTCTTCCCACAGCCCTAACACTGTATTAGTTACTTTTTATTGCTGTGATAAAATGCCATGACCAGAAGCAACTTATGGAAGAGTTTTATTTTGGTTGATGGTTCCACAGGGAGAGTCCATAATGGCTGTGGGAGGGATGGCAGCGGGCAGACGAGCCATCCCATCATCAGGGGTGAATGCAGAGCAGAGAGCAGGCTGGGCACAGGACAAGGCTGTAAGCCTCCGAGAAGGAATGGTGAGCTCAGGCTTCCTCTAACTTCCTCTGACTCTGCTGTTACTGTCACTGGAGAGACTCCGGGGTGGGAGTGCGGCCTTGGTGCCCTTGAGTGCAGGAAACTGGAATGTGGTCCAAACTTCACTCAGAACAGGGAGGAAAGCCAACTTGGTCAGTGCTTCTCCTGGAATGAGGTGTCACTGAGGCGTTCATGTTGAAGGTGATGAGGCCAGTGATTCCAGTTGGAGCAGCTCTTTGCTGCATGTTAGTGGTGGACTTGGTCGGCAGACCAGCAGCGGCAGGCCCTTTCTTTGCTCAGCACCTACACATTCTCACCATCTTTGCTGGGCTAACTGGAAATGGTTTGAGGTCTCTGCTGGGTTTGTACAGGTATGAT